TTTCAAAATGCGTTTTGTCCAAAATTTGTAATTTTCAAAAAACGAGAAAGAAAGAAACTCTGTACACAAGAAAATTACGCACTTTACAGAAGTGGGATGTGAAATATTAAACAAAATTTGCTAAACAATTGCTAAAAATGTTAAACAAATGCATTTTGTTTGTCTTTAGTTAAAAAATATAATACACTTCGAAATGTCTATGTTTTTTCAACATATAAACTAACGATGAAAAAATGCTTTCTGAACATCTCAGAATAGCTTATAATATGAATCTTTTAACATTGAACACTACGCTACCTCTAACTAAAAAAATGAAATTTTGGACAGAATATGCATTTGGGAATTTTGCTTTTTATATATTCTATATATATGCGCATATACATAGAATATATATAGTTATACATATGCATAATTATACATAGCTACATACCCTACTTCTTTCGTGCAGATAGTTGACTTCCTGAATGATTTATATACATGCTTCGACTCGACGATACAAAACTATAACGTTTATAAGGTCGAGACAATCGGAGATGCTTATATGGTGGTGAGTATTACGAAAGTAAAATTGTTTATGGCAATTATTTAAAATATAACTTTGTAGTGGACAAGAAAATTGTGTATTAAAAAAACTATCGAATAACTCCGTCATTTAACTCCATTGTCTCAATCAAATTTTGTCTCCTAGGTAAGCGGTTTGCTGATAAGAAATGATATTCAGCATGCTAGTGAAATAGCGAGCATGTCGTTGTGTCTTTTAGATGCCATTAAACAGTTTATCATACGTCACAGACCGTTTGATAAATTACAACTTCGCATAGGAATACATTCCGGTATGTTTTAAAGCGAAAAGAATGTCTAATAACAATGAGTAATAATAATTTTTTGGTAGGTCCAGTATGCGCTGGCGTTGTTGGATTAAAAATGCCACGGTACTGTTTATTCGGTGATACAGTAAACACTGCTAGTCGGATGGAGTCTACAGGATTACGTGAGTATTATTAAAAATTATTTTTTAAAGTACATTTAATTAAACAAAATAAATGTAAATATATAAACATGTCACAAATAATTGAAATTGCAAAACCTTATATATAAAGAGTATTTCAAAATTTACGCCTGCGAAGTACAAGACGTGATACTTTATGCTCCTGTATATAATAGCTTCAGAATGTATAGAACATCCTGTATATAATAGCTTCAATCTTTATTTCTTGTCTAAATAATATAGAGATAATTAAAAAAAAACATATAATTCTTACACACAAATCTGATCTGTGTTTTTGTAGCGCTTAAAATTCAGTGCAGCTATGAGACAAAGCAGCTGTTAGATCAGCTGGGAGGATTTAATCTTATAGAACGAGGGGTGGTTTCCATGAAAGGAAAAGGCGAACGTCTAACGTATTGGTTGATCGGAGAAGATCCGATATTACGTAGCGAGCATAGCAAGGAAAGAGCAAGCAAACAAAGCGGTAAAAAAAATCAACGTGGCTCTAATTCCTCGAAGTTCTCTAAAGAACAAATCTCTCGTCAGATTAACTTTCATGAGATGTTCCAGCGATTCTCCGAAACGTTTGCGATTTACCAGTTCAGATCAACTTGATCAAAAAGGCTCCAGGGTGAGTCAATCAAAATCAATAGCCGACAACAGTCCATGCAAAACGAAGGTTTCATGCGTATTACGATCGTCCTGTATGGAAAACTGGCAATCCTCCAGCAATTCATGTCCCTGCGTCGAGAAGCTCTACGATCAGGAAACCCAGCCGGAACTGATGAAACACGAATTGTCGTCAAACATCAAGAACGTATCGCTATTTCGAAGCAATCTGATCTTCGGTAACGAGTCATGTTTTCTACGTCCTGAAGCCAAAAGTTTCCGCTTCAATACACCCGGGATACTCCAACTTACTTGTAAATCGGTACCTAACAGTCCCAAGCATAGCATAGCACAACTGAATGCTCAAAAGAGAGCGGTGCAGTCATACAAAGAAATCGATAGGTGGGATGTGATGACACCACTAATCTATTATCCGGGTGGTCGCTTGGATTCAGAGATTTAAAATCACCACAAACGTTATTAAACATGATAACAAAATTTATGAAATTATATACTTCATTTATATGTATAGAAATATATCTGTAGAATTAACTTAACAATCAAGAACACAAACAAATACACCGGACACATAAAAAAACAACATAATCCATAATTTGCCTATCATATAATTTAGTGCCAGTTAGTACGGTACACTTTAACTATTATAAAAGGTTTACAATAAAAAGTTTCTCGCTTACAGTATATAAAGAACCAAAGTGCACTGTACGTACAAACATTACACATAGACAGTGTTGGAACAGATACCGTTTGAAAGATATCTAGATATAGATATAGGTATTGTGTGGGAAAAGTATTTAGATATAAGTATAGATACATTTTTTTACAATTACCTAGATATAGATACAGATATAAATAAAAAGTATCTGAAAATTTAGATATTTTTTAGGTACTTTCAATAAAAAAAGAAGGAAAAATGGGGGAAAACAAGAAAAATAGAAGTAATAAGCAACGTAAATTAAATATCATATTTTGTTTGTTTATTTTAACAAAACCCAGACGATAACATTAAAATCGGTTTCATTAATAGTTTTAAATAAATATTGAGTATTATTTAGTTTTACATGCATATACATATCTACAAAACTGATAAATCATAAAATTAATTCTACTCATTATCAATTTCTTACCCTTGACTACATAAATTTTTAGTTTTAATGAACAGCTTTAACCATAAGAATATCGGCCTTTAATTAGTATATCAGCGCATAGGTACTAGTACTAGATTGTTAATTTCTGAGTTGATTTAGTATGCTTTTCAACAAGCGACACAGATGACACGGTATGAGGCACAGTGTATCATTACATCCTTGTTGTTCGTCAATGTTAAACAAGGATGAGATGATCACTGTGTTATATTGTGTCGCTTGTAGGAAGGAACAATGATATATATATATATATTTTTTGCTCTCCCAACGCATAACGACAATATATTCCCTACGTTAGTACAATTATAAAAGGCTCGTGCTTCTTAAATAAATGTCTAGTCAATGTTAATATAAGTATCTTTGTCTCTGACTACTTTCATATAACCGCCAAACATTATATGTAAAAACAGATGAATTTTTTTAACGTTACACAATCAACAAATCGTTAGTAATCAAAAAAGAGAAAAATATTATTTTTAAATATTTTTCAGCAATGTTCATTTACTTTCAGGAAAATATTTGTTTTCATATATATATATATATATGTACACATAATATCTTTCTTTCTCTTTCCTTTTGTCTCTTCAGAACGTTTAGAAAACATCAAGAAAATGTTAAACTAAAATGTATATTCGTAAAAAATAAAAAGAAATTATCAATATATTTTATTGTTGCAGAAATTATTTTCAACACATCACATATATATTTACTTTTAATTTCTGTATTAACTATAATTTGCACAATTCTTAAGTATAAAATAATAACTTATTTTTATATTCTATTTTTTTATTCCTCTCTCTCTCTCTCTCTCTTTCTCTCTTTCTCAAATAATTATTTTTATGATTTAATATTATTTTTATAAACTTTGTACGATAAATATATACAGAAAATGGGAAAAAATTTACGTTTTTATCCGTGTTCAAAATTCGCCGTCACTGTGTATACATTAACAATACACGACTTAGTTTGTGCAGACGTCATACGTAAGTGCAATGGCTTCAGACATAATCCGACACACGTGAACAATGCATGATAGAACGGCGACGATAACGCAGAAAGATCCATTACGTTATTATTATTGAGGAAATTAATTAGACTCGACTGGCGCGAGTCAGCATGATATTACGCATATAGCTTACACGTTTCTATGCTTTTATTCCTCGTTTATCGTCCGCCTACACTGGCCAGTTAATATTTAAAAAATCAATATGACGGACGCATCAAATAAAACAGTGTAGTGGCTTGTAGCTTGAAGGATGATAGCCCACGGCGCTAAAAAAAAGGGGGGAAAAAGAGAGAGAGAAAAAAGCAAATGAACAGTTTATGTGATTTTAGACTATTTGCCTAAAAAATGTTTCTGCGCCATCAAAATACGACCACTTCGTTTCCAATTAACTTTCCTGCTATATGCATCATTTACACAAACATGTATCTCGACGTACATCTTTCAGGGGCCATGCGCTATTTCCTTTTTCACGCAACATATCGATGTTTTAACAGCGATGGTGATTTTTGTTAAAACAAAAAGTTTGCCTCGTGAAAGAAAACGAATGTAATAAAAGAATAATCAATTAATAATAAACGCATTCTCATGCTATATGTTTTTGTCCTTAAAAAGATGTATTTCATTAAAAGAATTTAAAGATGTATTTCATTTTAGTATACTTTTTCTAAATTTACGTTGAAGATATGTAATATAGCGGGAAAGCCGTTTACTTATACGTCACGTATTAAAATTAAATCGTATAACATATTAAAACACACTTTTATTGATTAATTCGACTAATAATCAAATTATGCAAAGATAAAAGTCTTTATATACGACTCAATGGTAATCTATTTTGATGGTAATGCGTTGTACAAATTTCAGAATTCAATCACAGAATGCAAAACCAAAAATCAGGGAATGGAAGAGTTACTTTTCCGTTAGTTCTTATAATAACAATTTGATAATGATGTTGCAAATTTTTATGACTGTAATGATAACTAATACGTTACGCTTATATATAATAACTTAAACGCTGAGGTTATGCTGAGGTTAAGAAAATCATTTTGAAAAGTAAATTGAAAAAGATAATAAGTAATAACGAGTAACGCCGTAAATTTATTATAAGTTACATTAAAAAATAACGAGTTAAAAATTACGTCATATTTTTTCAATAACGAATAACTTTTTAATCTGTTATAAGTAACTATTGACTATTAATTCCAAATCTGGTATTGCATTATCATCATAAAAAAATCGTAACGTCATTACCAAATCGTTATTACAACAAGGTAACAGTAGTTACAAGTAACTACTTCCATTTCCTGCCAAACATATTGATTTCAGTTTCATGGTTCGGTACATCGTGGGAACGCCGCGCAAAGATAAAACTGACGCGGCGACGCCGACGGTATGTTCCGCTTTTGCGCAAACGAGCCATGCAAATACAAAACTGACTCCGAAATTTATTGCATGAATTATCGTAAGCGCGTTCGCAGACGATCGCAGCAGGTTCGAACTTGATCACAATGATTGAAATTAATATCTAGGATAGAATCGCTTTAAAAACGCGTTAAAGACACATTCTCAGCTCGCAATCGTTTCAACATATCGTTATCTACCTAACAGATAATTTAATTACTAAAAAATAATAAATGCATCGATAAACGCTTGAATAATAAATAATAAATGCAACCCAAACGCTTGAATTAATGACTGCGATACGACAAAGTTCAAAATTGATATGAATAGAACAATTATAAAGCGTAATTACAATTCTAGTTTGCTTTACAACCATTGGCACAGATACATGTAGATTGATCACTGTATCAACACTTTAGATATCGTTCATCATTCATCGTTATTTATATTAATATAAACAAAAATAAAGACGGATAGTGTTTAAAATGTTGATGTAATGATTTGGTCGTTTGCGAGATCCAACGCAATTACATACAAATTTCTTGGTAAAAAAATTGTTCATGCATGAGTATAATGTATAAACATATATAAGACATATTTCTTATAAAATTATGTATGTTGATGAATATTTATACATGTTTATGTATGTTTATACATATTTATACATATTCATGCATGACAAATCTTTTACCGGGAATACACATCGTATACACGTATACAAACAGATAAAAACACAAGAATCATCACAAGCAAGCGGACACCCTGTATAACGAGGCGACTCTTATAGTAGGTATACAGAATGGGGTACTGTCTTATTTACGTTAAAGCGGTTGTCGGCCAACTTAGAGCGGTGGCCATCATTCAATCAAACCGAACAATTTAAACAGCCCGGATTCACGCAGCGAAATCATATAATATTTGACGTCAAGCATTATTATCGTATAATGGTACCTAATAGCCGTTTGTTTGTACAGGTTGCAAGCGGCGCCGTAATTTTCAAATGGTATATTTGCCTCCCTGAGAACGACACTGCTGAACATTGTTGAATTGTTGCAAAACTCTTTGCACGCGTTCTTAAACGTGAGTTCCATCTGGCTATCAAACCCGAATATCGATCAATAACAAAGAAAAAAATGAACGAGAGTCCGAATCACCAACACGCTCACGTTAAAAAAAACGTACAAGGCGCGACATAATTTGACGTGATAAATTCTAAATAAAATCCAAAAGGTCATAGATAGAATGATTTTCTAACGCAACAGAGTACGATTGCACTGCTATGAATAAAATTATAGATTACTAATCACGTGTGAAGTAGGATTTTCAACAACGATAAGAGTTAAAAAACCAAATTTTGAAATAAACTACAATTATCAAACTCCTTCTGTTTAAAAATGACTCGCACCGACTTTGATGTCAATGCTATTATCAACAGAAATAAGAAATAAGGATGTTTTCCACACATACCTCATTAAGGTGATCCTACACGATCAATAATACTGTTCGTATTAATCTCGGCGTAAAGAAATCACGATAGTATCGTTGCGCTTGGCTTAGCGCCGAGACACTACCGCGTCTCCTGATAAATACTGACGTTACTGATCACGTGTGGTTAATATTGATGGATTGACGTAGAATAAACTGACGATGATTTAGATTTTGATTCTCAATCATCAGTATCGCTTTATTAGGATTCATGTCACAGTATATATCACAATAATGCAATAGATAATATATGTAAAACTAAAGTGAAATATATTGTCAATAATACTGATCGTGTAAGATTGTATAAATACCAAAAATATTGATGCATACTGTCAGTTACTGATTCAATATTACTGATCAATATTATTGACCATATACAGTCACTTTTATGTAGGTATCTGAGAAATAGATTTATAACATTGTATTCAATAAAAAATTAAATTAGGAGTAGTACAGTGTGGCATAAATAAAGTAGTATAAATATAAATAATACTTAATAAATGAAGTAGTATAAATAAATA